TAAGCGAATATGAAGACAGAGTGTCGCTATATGAAAGCGTAAGTACCCCCTTCAGCTACAGGAGAATCGCCATCTATCTATGAACCTCCCAAACTCCAACGCACGCTAACCCACAACTGTAGTACCATCACTTAAACCATTACGCAATCTTCGGTGGTAGCTACAAGTCTGGCGCTCTTGGAATCTTGAAAAAGCTGGTGAGAAAGCACGGCGAGCGCTAGCAGAATCCGAACAAAGAGTGAAGATGACATTCCCGGCGTCTACTGGCGGAAGAGACTTGCGCACAATTGACCCATTTCACTTGGTCGTGCCTCTGAACCGGACCAGGAAATAGTGCCTCGAGACTACAAGATCTCGTGCAGCTATCCATGTCGCTCGAAGAGACGATTATGGTCGGCCGAGAAATAATTCACTCTGACGAAGTCATTCGCAGCCATTCAACCACAAAAGGTGCCGTGAACTTGGGATATATAAAGAATCACATCAGCCTCTCCTCCGTCTTCAGCCCCCTTAGAGGATGCGTGATCGCAATCAACCAGGAGTCAACCGAAGCCCATCCAGCCCAGCTTTCACGTCATCGACAGAACCCAAAAAGGGCCTCTATACGGGCTTGCAGGTTCGCAGCGTAAACAAGACGCTTGCTATATCACTCTTCATATGAACACTCTAAGAACTGTCTTCGGGGCATGTCCGACCGAGTAGCCATGGTGGCCGTGTCCTCGTGTGTTTATATATATAAATGCCATGCGCATTATGTCAGCTCCGCATCTATGGGGCATGGAGCAGCAGGCCCATCTCCACCGAGAGTGGGTGCACTATCCAATAAGTTAGCAGACGATTATCTCGCGCCCTTTCCAAAGAGATCACGATCATGTTTCCTTCCATTTTCCCACCACCAATATAGAACTCCCACGTCCTTTTCATTTTGATTCTTGTTTGATACTAACCCTCGACTGGAATTGGATATGACGTGAGCATCGTCAATCACTCTCACACAGTTGATCGAAGTCTTTACAACTACCAAACCTCATCGTTGAACCTGTCCAGGTATTACTGCGACAAGGTTATAACTTATGGCTCGAATAAACAGCGGCGAGAAGCCCAAGGTTCGCTGGGACGCGGATGAAAGCTACGACCGTTACAACCGGCTTCGATGGCGGCCGTTGATCTTCCTGGCTACGGCCGTCGCGCTAGGCATTGCACTCAAAGATGACATTCACCGACCCGACTTGATCTTGCTCTCTTTGGTCCCCTCCTCCCTCCTGTCATTAGATCAGCGTGTCGCTAGGATTATGGCCGTAACGCCTCTAATGGGTTAGTCAACAATGTACCCAGTAGGGAGGATGCTCCTGAGAGGTACGAGTCTCAACTGACTGAGACGCCCACAACCAGATGGACACGATGATTTAGCATGGAGTGTACGCTCTCACTTTCACAATCACATATACGAACCAGACTTCTCGTCCAAATTCAGGGATGGCGGGATGCCGGACCATTCGGATCTGCCCCGATTGAAGAAGGGCAAGCAAGGCGGACTCTTTTGGAGCTGCTTCGTTGAATGTCCGACCAACAAATTCGACTTTTCCAACACAAACTACGCTCCTAGTAAGTTCTGTTCGGCAATGGCAATGGCAATGACCTCTCCTTACCATGTGTGCAGCCGTCATCGACGCGCTTGCGCAAATGGACCTCATACATCGCTTGCAGGCCGCCCACGCACACATATTCTCTCCTGCCACTCTGGACAGTAGTGCGGCCCTCACAGCGTTCAGACGCCATGGGAAGTTGCTCTCCCCAATTGGGCTTGAAGGGCTCCATATGATTGGTAGGAATGCCTCGATGCTCCGCCTTTACCACAGACTCGGTGCAAAATATGCCACGTTGACGTGGAATTGCCACAATGCTTTTGCAGACGCCGCGCAGGTTACGGTCGTTGATGACTCGCTTGGTCTCGGCGCTGCTAGACCTGCAAACCCATACTGGGATGGGCTGAGTACTCTAGGTACCAAAATTATCCGCGAGATGAATCGTCTCGGCATGATTGTAACGGCACTTGATTCTAGGGTGAACTCGTTCTGACCACGTCGCCTAGGTTGACCTGTCCCACACCCATCCGGCGACAATGCACGACGTCCTGGCGGGTAACCAGACCAAATCGTTTCCTGGGAGTCAAGCGCCGGTCATCTTCTCTCACTCGTCAGCATACGCACTGTGTCCTCACCCACGCAATGTCCCCGACCATATCCTTCCACTAGTCAAGCAGACCGATTCTGTTGTCATGGTGACTTTTGTTCCGGAATTCATCTCCTGCGTCAATGCGACTATTCCCGGTAACTTACCGACGTTCTATCCCGCCAACTCGACGCTTGAACACGTTGCCGAGCATATAATGTACATCGGCAATAAGATTGGCTTTGAGCATGTTGGAATAGGGAGCGACTTTGATGGGACCGAGAGCACGCCAAGAGGGCTAGAGGATGTGAGCAAGTTTCCCGATCTGCTGAAGGAGCTTTTGAGACGAGGATTGAGCGACGAGCAAGTTGGGGCGATTACAGGAGGGAATCTCCTGCGCGTGTGGAGGAGGGTGGAGGAGGTGGGAAGGGAGATGCAGGACGACGGGGTAACGCCGATGGAAGATGACATTTGAAGAGAATGAAAAGGACAGACATCTGTCAGTTGTGTACGGGGTCAACTCGGCGTCCAAATACAGCACAGCATAGCATGCTGGGGCCCGAGGTGTGGCCTGAGGCATGACTGTCAACTGAGCGTGGACCATTTCGGCCTAGTAGCCCGGCCAATGCTCAGAGAGGAAGCATCTCTCGAGCCACCGCAGCCGCGCAACCTTCATCCACCAAACCAAAGACGAGATGATGAGCTGATGTTCGCGCATTGTTCCTGCATTACGGTATTTCTAATTTTAATCTCTTGAGCGCTGGTCGCATATATTTGAACAACCTGTCCCATATTGTCTGTCTGTTTCTTCGCAATATTCCTCTGCAGAGTTGAGCTTCTTGGTGACGTGTCGACGTTTTGGATCTTACTGGCATTGGTCTTGGGACGAAATGGACACCATCACGCCTCAACAGCGGAAGAAGATCCTGCGCGTGCTGTTCGTCTCTCTGCTTCTCGACCTTGTGAGCTGATCCAGGCAAAACATATATCCTACTGTATCCCAGGCTAACGGACCGTTTACTAGATCTCGTTTACCTTCATCCTTCCTCTATTCCCTTCCCTGCTCACCTTCTATCGCGGACTCGAAACACACCCTTTCTCGGCCCTGAACCGCATCCTCCACTACCTCAATGCGTACAAGTCGTCCTTTGCCGTGCCTATCAATGAGAAATACGACATTGTCCTGCTCGGAGGCGCGCTGGGCTCGCTGTTCTCGCTGTTGCAGGCCATTGCGTCCCCCATTATAGGCCGTGCGTCGGACAAATTTGGGCGAAGAACAGCGCTGCTATGGAGTATGTGTGGCAACATTGCGAGCGTGGCGCTTTGGTGTGTCGCCGTGGACTTTCGTACCTTTCTGCTCAGCCGCATCGTGGGAGGATTGAGTGAAGGGAATGTCCAGCTGGCAACGGCCATTGCGACGGATATCAGTACAGAAGAGCAAAGAGGGTCGACGATGGCCCTTGTGGGCGCGTGCTTCAGTGTTGCGTTTACCTTTGGTCCGGCCATGGGGGCCGCGCTCGCAAGCATTACCACCGTCATCGCCAACCCATTTGCGACAGCCGCGGGGTTTTCCCTGCTGTTGATTGTCCTGGAGACGCTCTACCTCTATTTCCAGCTTCCAGAGACCAGACCTGTGAAGACTGCGGCCTCCGAGTCGAAAGCTGCCAAGTCCGACTCGACGACCTTCGAACATACGAACAGCCCGATGGTATTGAACATGATTCATTTGCTCTTCCTCCTCCCCTTTTCCGGAATGGAATTCTCGCTCCCATTCTTGATCACCTCTGTCGTCTTCCCGGACCATCTGTCCCCGTCGAAAATCAACGGCCGATTACTGGGGTTTGTCGGCTTGATCGCCTCGATGCTTCAGGGCTCAATTGTGCGTCGCCTCCCTCCACTGACGGTGGTAAAATTGGGTGTCGTCTCGAGCACTCTCGCTTTCTTCCTGCTCTCTCGTATAGACAGCATGACTGGCTTGTACTGCGCCGGCGCATTACTTGCTGTCACCTCGGCCACAGTTGTGACGGGGTTGAACAGTCTGGGCAGCTTTGAAGCGAAAGAGAGTAACAGAGGCGAAGTCTTGGGAGCTCTGCGGAGCTGGGGCCAGTTTGGAAGAGCCCTGGGGCCCGTTGTATTTTGCAGTCTGTTTTGGTGGGCTGGTCGTGAGACGGCCTATATGATAGGCGGCACTGCTATGTTGGGTGTCACTGTCTTGGTTTTCACCATGTTGAAGGCCCCGCAAATTGAAAAGAAAAAATCATGATGAGACTGTCGTTGGAAATGCAATGGTCGGAGGGGAATGGGATGTAAAATGATACAAAAGATCCAAAATGATAGATGAAGAGCTCGACTGTTTGTGTGGTTCAACTCTCGACTTTCCTGCTCCAACCTGTGGCGTCTTCACGTACAAACTTCGTCTTCGCCTCTTACTTTCGCCTGCCGACTTCGAGTTGTCAGTCTTTCCACTCCCTCGAAAGCATCAATCTAGTTGGCGTCCACGTGCTGCCGAACTTCATCACGTTTACTCCCTCACTTCTTCGCGCTCCCTCGAAACGGCATTGTCGACAGTCTCTTGAGTCTGCTTAGTCCGCTCATTCTACACACAATCTTGAGAGTCTGTCTGAGCTATTACTTATCGAGCAATCCAGACATATCCGATCTGAGGGTCAGCTGCTCATTTCAATATTGAAATCTCGGGCTCCAGCCGCATAAGAGTGCAGGGAAATCGTGAATACTTGAGGTGTTCAGCTTGGTTCCCGCCCTCTGGAAAAGATTATGGCTGACGCTGTCGATCTGAAGAAAACCGGAGCCCACTACCAGCCAACCTGATGTCGAATGAGAGCGAGCAGTATCAACTCGAGTTTGCGCGTCTAGTCGAGCGACTCCGCTGCTACGGAGATCACTGCCCTTTCCCCGCGTGTGGTCCGTCATCCGCAACGCCACCGCGAACACAAAGAGCTTTGCAACAAAAGGACACTTCACACACTCCCCGGCCAGCCAAAGCACACGACGTGACCATTGCTAGACTACATCAGGCATGTGCCGTGCTGAAAATCCCCCCTCGCGCTGCGGAATTTGCGCAACAACTGTTTCGGCATTTTTTCAAGCCCATCTCACTGCCGCGGACTTTTGGGGACAAGCACAAGGCTGGCATAGCCGCTTGCATCTGGGCCTCTTGTTCTGAACACAAGCTCACAATCGTTAAAGACAACGTCTGTCTGACTGCCAGCGCCAAGGTAGAGCACTTCCAGGTTGCACATGGACAGCTGCAAAAATCATATGCAAAGTTCAGGAACCGATATTTCAGGGGCAAACTGCGCGCAAAAGCCCCAGCAAAAGGTGCCGTCTACGATCACAATGCTAGACGGAGAAGGAGACGATGTGGGAGAGATGTAACTGGGGAGCTGAGAACCCGCATCTTCCTCACAGCCAGTTAGATGTAATGGCTTGCGGAGCCCAAAAACTTGTGGTTAACGTCCGCCGGCTCTCGGTTATGAGCCCTCATTGCACAGACCTTGCCGCTGTGCGGTCGCAGGGTTGTTTATGCAGAGGGAGAGACATCTGTTGAATGCCAGGGTGCGCGTCACTTGGCGGAGGACATAATGAGGTTGAAATGTGGATCTCGACTGCTTTATTGATGGTTGGGTTTGAGGGTGGAAAAGTTTGATATGGGAAAGAGCCAACAGCAGAAGTTTGCTCTATGAAGCCAGGTTCTCAGGTCCTCAGGTTCCTCAGGTCCTCAGAGCTCGTCAACCAGATGTGATGAGTGTGCTCTCCTCATTACCGAAATCGCCTTTGTGTCTTCATCTTCGCCACACAGCGCTGCTGCCACTTATAGCAACGAGGAGGAGCAGCTTCGAATCGTGCCTTCTGCTTCCAGTGTCGTTTGCCCGCATCAAATCGACTACATCAACCACATATCTGTCGCACCGAGTATATCACTTCACTCATGGACGGCACCCAATATGACTGAGAGATTTCACCCTGCCGCAGGACTGCATCTATCACCTGGTAAGGAAGCACTTCCTCCAACTTTTTGAAACTGCCCTTCTGCCTTCTTCATGAACTGCTTTGTCTGCCCGAGTCGACATCATCATGTTCTTTGACATCCTAGGGCAGCCGTCGCTCTCATTCCATCAGAACTTGAACCCGACTCGACCACGCCTCCCTTATAAGAAACCTCGATTACGCTCTCCGTTCCCTCTGCCACGGAAAAAATTCGCGCGCATGCACATACGGTGCCTTCATCTCCAAGCTCCCTCACTCCTACCCGCCTCTCCATCGACACAGGTCCAGTGGCGGTGTTTTAGTGGCAAAGGCCAGATTCCAACCAAGGACCGACTCGATTCGACCCGCTCTTGGGCACGAGGATCCCACCGTTGATGAATCCTGAATACGACGCTTTCAAACGATCCCTCAAGCGCAGCTGAAACGGTTCAGAACTCGCTTGACGACCACCAGGAAGTCGCTGTCCAGTATCCGGCCAAACAGCAATGCCCGACTGAGCAGTTACAAACACTGTTTCCCTGATCTTGCCGTTACACATCCGCTCACTCTTATACCAACCTGACAAGTGAGCTTCCTTTTCGGCTGTGATTTCTTTTACATGGCGAGACATGTATTTTCTGGGTGGAGAGAAAAGCTGGCGAAGGCGTGTCTACGGTACAGGCTGAAGAAGCGCATGAAGGAACTGCGCAAGGTGCGGGAAGCCAAGCAGAAGAAGGAAGAGGGTCTCGCGATTCGTCAGCGCATACAGAGGTCGGTAGAGAGGATCGTCAAGGGTCACAGTGATGAAGACAGGAGGAAAGCCAAGGAGAAATATCACGCAAGGCAGAAAAGGTGGGAGAAGGTGACTGGATTCAAATACGGCCCAGCCTGGGAAGAACATGATTACGGGAACTGGGACTTTGGGCTTGCGGGTCCGAATGGTGAAAGAGAGGTCAATACTTTGGATTTGATGGATTGACATAGTGAATGTGAGAAGGCTCCAATTCGGCTCCAGTCTTTCGACACAGACTGTTCATGTCTCCTCTCAGAGGTCGTCTCCACTTACACATCGTCCGCCTAGGCCGGTTCGATGGATAACTCGTTGGATGTGCCGGAATGAGAGAGAATTCCTCTTGATTTCAGGTAGACGCCACATGTCCAGATCCACCCTCTGACTCGCCTTCTCCTGTTGTTTTTCGGTTTTATTCCCACTGTTTGAAGGGATAGCTCCAATTGTGCGGACCTCTTAGGGCCATTGTTGAGGCATGCTCGACGGTTATGGAGTTTCTATAGTAGCAACAACACCAGAGGTTGAGTTAACTATCGCGAGGCTGCGCGAGACCGAAAGGGGGGTTGTCTGGAAAAGTAGCTCCCGTTACGGAGTATCCAGCACGCGTCATACCAGCTTCCTGGCGACGACGGTATGGTGGCAGTCATGGTGACTGATTGATTGATTTAGTAAGGCTTGAAGGAAAAGTCGCCAAAGTCGAGATTGGACACTGTGAACACGAGCATTGAAAATTAGCAGAGGTAACCCATGATGTCTTTGATCTCTTTCAGACACACATAAAAGGGAAGGAGGAGGGGAAATGGGGGAAATGACTTTGTCTCGACATACTCTGTTCAAAAGCACCATAGGCTTCATCGAAGTGCTCGTTGGCGTGAGAGAGCATTCTGTCGTTGTGGCAGAGCGATTCGAACTGCAGGTACGAAACGACAGGTTGGTCGGGAAACTCATCGGCGCGGCGGGCATCAAAGTCCAGAGCCGCAAGTGTCCCGGCGCCGCGTCCTATCGCCGCGCTTGGAGTCTCCGCGCCCACCTGAAAGGGAGTCGGCCTGGAGGACATCATGCTTGTTTCCCCGTGTCCAGGCCCGCGGGGATAGCCAGCGCTGTCTTGTGTTTGCTTCTCGGCGAGCGTCTGGCCCAGCCGATCCTTCGTTATGCCAGTGTCCGGCGGTCGCAGGGCATTGTCCATCTCGCGCTGCATCGTCTTTTTGTAGAGCCTCGTCAGCATCTGGTCAGTGTGCTGGGCGATCTTGCTCTCGTCCTTGATGGCTCTGCAGGCGGCAATGATCCTCAGCACCCCAGCCTTCGCCTCGCTGGCCATTTGGCTGTACGGCTGACACGTCGGCGCGATGCACAAGATGACTCCGGCCGTGAAGAGATGCATGAGCACAAACGACTGAGCGAGTTGGCCCTCGAACTCGTTCACCGGGACCCGCGACATCCGCAGCGCCGCCCGGACCGAAGTGCCCAGGGAATCAGGAATGTCGTCCAGACCGATCTTGACATTGCCTTCCCTTGGAGATATGGAGATTCGGAGTTTCAGCAGCGGCCGGTGTGCCCACACTCGCGCCGCGTCGTACAGAAGCTGCAGAATGAAGCCTTGCAAGCCGATTTTCCTCCTCACACTATGCTCTTCCGCGCTGCACTGGTCGAGTTCAAGGACGTTCCATGGATCGTCTGCCGGCCAGCGGGAAGACTTGAAAACCGCCGGCAGATTCTCGTGCCACTGCTTCAACATGAGTTCCGTGGTATTGACGACTTGAATAAGCGCCTTCAGATCCCGGACGGAGACTGGGCTCTGAAGTTGCAGGACCCTGAAGCTCTGTAGGGTTTGGCGGATGATATCGTAAAGCTCAAACTTGAGCGTGTGGTAAGTCAGAAATGTCACCGTTCCGCAGGGTTCCTGCAAGACCGGAAGAGCCGCTGTCCCCTCTGGCAGGTCGGTGTCGTCCAAGTCTGCCAGCTTCTTGAATTGCGCAAATGCGGGATCAAGACTCGCTGGACGCCCGAATATCATTGAAGAAAACTGGTCCGACACGACTAAATGATTCCAACATCGATTGCTCACTTCCCGGGCAACCTCGTCCGTGTTTCGTGCTTTGTCGCAATGCAGAGCCAGTGCATACGCTGTTCGTGTGGAAACACCGGACACGTTCCAGGCGAAGGTCGATGACCCAAAATATACATGGTAAATGGTCAGCAGCATGCAAATCTGAAACACTTCGATGCGCGACTCTAGCATCAGTTCGTAGAAGCGCGATCCGATTTGCGACATTAGGTCCGAGACGAGTGACTCAGCCGTCACCGAGTAGGCCTCCAGCAGTTGATGGCCTTTCCACGTCTTATCGTGTTCAACACAGCGTAATCCAACGGCCGCAACTGTCGCCACGAGGAGCACATCGCACAGCTCATCGCGTCTCCACGCGGATCGCCGGAGGATGTTTTGAGTCCGAATTGCGAACGACGGCTGGTGGAAGAGCATGATATACCAATTCACTCGGTCGAAATAGGCGTCCACCGCGACCTGGAGGATTGTCTGCGAGGGCAAGGGCGTCAAAATACAGCCGAAAGACTGCGGATCTGTAGCTGAGTGTCCAGCATCGCCAGGGATAGCGCCGCTGGCCGGCGAGTCGCTGTCGTCGTCTTCCCCGAGGAGGATCTTTGCGAAACCCATCGACGAGTCGTTGGCGCCAAACTGCTGGCTCTCCTCGGGACTGGTCCTCGTTATATCCGCCATCTCTAGACTGGCACCGTCGAAGTGAGCGGGACCCGCCGGGTGCGTTATATCATTCATCGCGCTGCAGCTGGTATCTCTCGGTCCCTGCGGGGCACCATGTTGGATATAACCTGAAGCGGCCGACGTCGATGGCGCCGCCACTTTCGGGCGACGGGGCACATCCGAGTGAACAGATCGCTTGCGCTTTAACGGAGAATCCTGCGCTGATGACTGCGGCTCGCATGCGACGCCGGCTCTGACGCATAGTATACATGGCTTTTCAACATCACACTAAAATGTTTAGTTTTGACTTTGCTTAGTATTTGCTCATCACGAAGTTTGCGGGGATGGGGATGACACAGGGATAGATATGTAGGTACCTTGAGCTTTTGCCGGCGACAGCGGTCGCACGCCCATGCAAGCCTGCTAGAGCGTTGTGCGTGATCCATAGGCTAGGTGATAACTTCTCTAGCGGCTTGCGAGATGCTTGATTGAATGGTTTTCGGTTTCAAAATGGGTTGACGTCGATAAAGGATGTTGATGATTTCTGAGAGCAAGCTTTCTCAGCCTGGTGGCCTGACCGCGAGCCGATCCGCTTGCAATCGGGGCAACTCCCACTAACTGCCAAGTGCTACATACCAACTACCAGGTGGCCTCCTCCTCGCTAAGAAGGATTGGTGGCGAACCGAGGTCGCCATGCAGAGTGCGGGGATGTGGATGCAGAACGGAATACGGAGGCCGGACTGGATCTTGAATGTCAGACTTTGTGATTCCCCTCTGTTATAGACTAATGGTCAGCCACTGTGATATCTGTCTTTCTTGGACAGCTATCACTGGGAAATATCTGTCGGGTCCTTGATATCGAAGGATGGGGCAAAAAGACGGGTTCTACCACTACCTCGCTGAAAATGTTGGGCCATTACTGAGCGCACCATTCGCGGCAACGGTGTTTCCATCTGCCAGAGCCGGATGCAGCAGTCCCAGAACAACCGGGACCTTCGGCCTCTGATCTTACGTATATGGTCCTGTGGCGGCCTCGCGGAAGATGGCTTTGATGTGCCTGGATTCAGCCTTGTCATGTTGCGCTACGGATCGTTGCAGAGCTGACTCCGAAAGTGTCCAATACGACACGTTGGTTTCTTGTCGGAAATCCTAAGATGCAGCGGTAAAGGTAGCATGGTAAGGCAATGCGGCTATCACGGCCCTCGAATTGGCACTCGTGGTAGGTTGCTTGCGCATTTGATCCCACAGCTCATCCTGACCACAAGGTATTCCACGATCGGCAGTTATAGTTAAGTTCTCAACTTGGTCCAATGATCGACTAGATAGCCATGGGCGCACGCCAGGGCACATTCCGCTGGGGCTATGGAAAGTTTGCCTGGACCTTAAGTGGAGAGACATGTCCGGTGGACGCGGAAAGCACACCTGGAGGTGCATCTCCCCGCATTCATCCCTGATTTTATGCTGAGTTGGGACAGGCTAAGTATCTTCTGCTCGACACCGTCAGAGCCTAATGTCGAAATTCTTCTTCCTCAAGGGTCACTGGGAAATGTGCCGTAAGAAGACATGTTTACGAAAGTAGGTACATATGAGAGACCGAAGCTAGCAAAGAGTGATTGAACCGGCGAAATGTCATCCTGTTGACCAGTGCTGCTGCTTAGACAGTCGAGAATGGCCTCAGGGTAATGCGCGCAGGAATAGATGGTATTGAGATTCTTGGTTTGACCTGGTTTGGTTTGTGTTGACGCGAGCACAGCTTTGCCGCTCAGCGTATTTGGGTATTATGGCGGAGGTGAGAGAGCAATCTTGGTTAGATGGATGTCTGCAACAACTATGGTCATTTCAGCCTCATCTGGATAATGCTAGGCATCATGATGGTACCAGATGTACTTTGTGCCTACGCCTGTATGCACTCCAGATTCAGAATTTGTGGCCTGGGAAAATCATATTAAATGAAGCTTAGGAGAGAAGCTTCTTTTTCAATACGGCGTAGCCGTAGCACTAATCTAAATTAGGACTATGGGCCCCACTACATCATCATTTGCATTGCAGCACCCATCGGCACTTTGTGAGCTTGGCCACCGAGTTGTTGACTCCCTTGACCACCCTCTCAGATGCACACTTCCTGCTATGAATCCCATCTTCATTCGTTCCGCATCTATGGGGAAAAGGGTCCGCTTCGACTTTGGCAAGAGTTTCACTTCCACCGGACGAATTGTTCTCCGCCGGAGATTCTAGCCCTAATGAGGAAGGTTGAAGGCTCACGTCTCGCGTGCATGTATTGATGGCTTCAATTCCTACTCCGTTTACACTTGGGGAAGCCACGAGGATACAAGTAACAAGATGGAGAAGGAAGCGAAATGCCGCTTCTGTCCTGCTTCCTCACCCCGCTCCGCACCTTGTATCGAGTGACCGCATAGCTGGGGTAACACGCGTCCAAGAATTGTATAAAACCCTTCCTGTCCAGTTCTGTTGTCTCTTGAACCGAGTCCAAGCTGTAGCGCTTTCCTTACGTCCCATCAGTACCAATTCAGGATCTCAAACAATCGCTGACATGTTGTATGTGGCAATCTTGCTTCTTGCAAGCGCCATTTGGAGTACAGCTACTCCAGCTCCTTCGCTACCAACAGTGGACCTAGGCTATGAACTGCACCAGGCAACTTACAATGTGAGCAAGAAATGACCTCCCTCTTCCCAGAGTCTTTTGGCACAGATACTGAAGATTCCCTAGGAGTCTGGACAATACTACAACTTCTCCAATGTGCGCTACGGTGCGCCCCCGCTCGGGAAGTTGCGCTTTTCTGCTCCTCAACCCCCTAGCATGAATGGCACCAAGGTATTCAATAACGGATCTAGGGCTGTGACCTGCTTCCAGGTATTGCCAGCCTGGACGATTTATTCAGCAGACTGGATTGCCAATGGCACAGCTGCTTTTAATATCTCCGCAGGTTATCAGGTCCCCAAACTCGCCTCAACGCCACCATCTGATCCAACGGCCTCGGAAGACTGCCTGTTCCTTGATGTGATGGTACCGCGAGCTATTTTTGAAGCGGCTGGTCAAGGCCCAGGGGCACCAGTGTAAGCAGATCTGAACGTGGAGAGGCTGCCCGGTCCAGCTGACAGCTTAATTAGAATGGTGTGGATTCACGGGGGAGGATATACGCTCGGATCTAAGACGCTCTATAGCCCATCTGCTGCAGGGCTTATCAAAGCTAGCCAGAGTCAAGGCGGGAAGGGCATAATCTGGGTAGCAATGAACTATCGCCTTGGAGCTTTTGTATGCCCTGAGGCCCGAATCTTCAAACCCGCCGTGTACTGATATTTACCGCCAGGGCTTTCTATCTGGTCCAACATTCCAAGAATCTGGAACAGCAAACGCAGGCCTTCACGATCAGCGCCTAGCGCTCGAATGGGTGCAGCAACACATCACCAAATTTGGCGGAAATCCGAACCAAGTGACAGTGATTGGAGAATCAGCCGGAGGCGGCAGCACGATGCACCAAATCACGGCATTTGGTGGCTTGAAGGGCAAGGTACCTTTTCAGCAGGCTATAGTCCAGAGTCCTGGGTTTCAAATGTCGCCTAGCGTTACTCTGCAAGAAGCCATCTACAACCACTTCTTGGCTATTGCAGGAATCAACACACTTGAAGACGCACGAAGTCTGTCTACGGAAGCACTTGCACTCGCCAACTACAAGCTTGTCGGAGGGTCAAGCCCCTACGGCACGTTCACTTTCAACCCTGTCGTAGACGGGGCTTTTGCCCCAGATCTCCCCGGCCAGCTTCTTCTCCACGGAGGGTTCGACAAATCTCTGAAGATTATGGCCGGCCATAACCTCAACGAAGGTCTCGGATTCATGGATCCTTTCGCCCAAAATGAGACCGTCTTTGAAGCCGACCTTCGCATATACTTCCCCACCATTACTGACGCCGCCGTTAACTATATATCCCACACACTGTATCCGCCTGTCTTCGACGGTTCTGCTGGTTATACCACGCCGACAGGGCGAAGCGAGTTGATGATCACAGAAGCGTTCTTCACATGCAGTACCAACTTCTTGGCTCGCGCGTACAACAACAATGTGTTCAATTACATATTCAGTGTTCCACCAAGCCTTCACGGCGATGACATTTCATATACATACTACAATGGTCCAAACCCCTTGGTCAAGAATGACACGTTGGCGGTCATCATGCAGAGGTACTTCACGAACTTTGTCATGACGGGCAATCCGAATGCAGCAGGATTGCCGCCTTTCCCAACATATGGGGCAAGTACCACAGTGCAAAACCTGAATCTGACGAAGATTGGACCAATGAAGGACAACGCTGCAAATGAGAGGTGTCTATGGTGGCAAAAGGGACTGTATGCCTGAGACTGTCATTCGCACCTAGATGGTTAGTTCAATAGCGTACTGAGTATATATTTCGGAGCCTGATCAACCACAGGTTGTCTTGCAGCCTCGTTGGAATATCGCTGTTCGATGCGGTTGTTATTGTGCAGTATGTTTGAGCACGTTCACCTTGGTCAGGGGAGACCACCAGGGACAATTTCAGCTGACCTCGCTTGTAAGGCTGACAAACCGTCTCAGGGAAAAATATTGATCCGCGGAGATGGTACCGCGACGGAGTTCTTGCCAAGGAATACCACCCTCGGAGGAACGGAAAAACTTCGGAGCTGGCCGGCTAATCATTTTGGTGGTCACCCGACGTCCTGCACAAAATCTCTCAATACCGACGAGGCTAGAAATGAAAACTATCACGCGTTTCTTTTGTCCCTGATTCTTTTTTCCTTCAGCCGCAAAATGGAGTGCAAAGAAGGCGATAAGACTCTGCTGCTGGAAGTCCGTCTCCGGCGTGATTTGCGAAACGACATACAAATTTACGAGCTAAGTATTCCACACAGTGATATCGATGTTTCTGAGGTGGGGATCGTTTCTTTCAATCTCTCTTTATGACATCGTCATCATCACAGCTACGACACGTCCACTTCGACAAATCTTCAATAAAATATGGAAACCCCTCTTTCGACAGACGAAGAGCATCACGCCATGGACCTTGAAAAGGGTTTCTCCTCTTCAAGCCTACCATTGTCAACGAGATTACGGCTCTGGTTGACATCTGACATCGACCCAAGATGGGCAGACACTATCCTTCTGGGTTGCTTCTTTGTGACAGGGATGGTTGACTCTGTCGCTTTCGATACTTGGAGCTGCTTTGTTGGCATGCAGACTGGTAAGGATTTGGGCTCTAAATGGGTAGCCTTGGTACTGAACTCATGCTCGCAGGAAATACCATTTTTGCCGGTCTCGGTGTCAGCGATCTGCCGGCAAACGTGCCAAAGCATACCTGGACGAAATCATTAATCGCCATCTTATCATTCTGTCTTGGTGCGCTTTTCTTCTCACGATACCATCGATACCTCGGCGGTCTCAAGCGATGGGTGGTGGCCTCATCTTTCTTCATTCAAACGTCATTCATGATCTTGACTGCATCACTGATTTCTGGAGGGGTTGTTGCGAAAGAAGAGACAGTGGTCGCTGACGGACGGGGAAGCTTCCCGTGGCACGAATTGTGTCCCATTGCTTTTCTGGCTTTTCAGAGCGCGGGTCAAATTGTGGCGAGCAGGATCCTCAAGTATAATGCATTGCCGACCGTGGTCTTGACGAGCCTGTTCTGTGACTTAATGAGCGATCCTGACCTGTTCACCGCCGGGCTTCTTGAGGATCCGGACCGAAACAGGCGGGCGTTAGGGGCGGTGTCTTTATTTGGAGGCGCAGCCGTCTCTGGAGCCCTGCTTAAGACATCAGTCCAATACAATGGAGCGTTGTGGGTTGCAACGGGAGTGAAGGGCGCAATGGTACTGGCATGGTTGGCATGGAGTGCCAGAAGGCTGCAGATACAGAAATGACTGAAAAGAATCAAGACCAGGCTCCCTTCCTATACAACGCAATGGCGCATACTTCTCATGGAGCTCGGTCTCTCCAAACGATACTAAACTCTAAAGCCATATGGACTCTTACTTAAGGATCGAGCTATAATTCTCAAGGGACTCAGAGTTCTCTACCGAGTATGCACACGGCCCAGGATATTCAAGCGCCTGTGGAGTGAAACCAGCAATCGGCTAAACTTCGGCACAGCCTCGCTCAGGCCACGCTCCTCGCCTATTCAAGTGGAGGCTAGGACTCGCTCTGAAAAGTGCAGCTACCTGACTTCGTCGGCAGATGCATGTGTATGCGTGGCATGCTTGAAGCTTGAAACCGCCTACAAATTGTGAGACCCCGCATGGGGCGGATGCACGGTCTTTGGGCTTCCAATGGAGGCATCACTCGATTTTGAGTCGCGCTTACAGGGCTCCATATGGAAGCCGCGAACATGTCAGCCCCGAAGATGCACAAAAGTTTCCTTGAGAAACCAGACTATATATCGTTATAAGAGTCTTGAAAAGGGGGGCAGTTATCAGGTGGCGATGACCTTGTCTCCAAAATTATGTTTTCCCTGGCATTTATCCGCGTCTCACCACTTCGGAATTTTGGCGGAAAATTCTTGGCGGAAAATTCTGGGTGGAAGAACTTCATGTAAGCGGTGTCGTCCCGCTTGCGCAGCCCACAGTCAAGATACACTGCTGGTGAATCCGCGCTAATTTGTCCCTATCGAGTTCGGCACCTAACCCAGGCGCGGTGGGTAGAACCACGCCGCCGTCCACCCACTTCAGAGCGCCATCGATAATGACGTCCTCATCGCGCCGCTTCCATGGCCAATGAGTGTCGCAGGCGTAATCAAGATTAGGAGTCGCGGACGCCAGATGCGTCATGGCGGCGAGCGAGATGCCCAAATGGCTGTTCGAATGCATGGAGAGCCGCATCCCCCACGTCGCGCAGATGGCAGCCAGTATCCAAGACTTGCGCAGGCCGCCCCAAAAGTGGTGATCGGACAAGATCACCTGGACAGCGTTGCGTGATATGCTGAGAGGGAGGTGAGTGAAGGCGACCACGGTCATATTCGTAGCTGGGGGCATCCGAGCCTCCTTCGCGACACTGGCCATGCCTTCAATTCCTGCGGCCGGGTCGTCCAAGTACTCGACAATACCTTCCAGCTCTTTCGCAACCCATTTGGAGGTCTCAACCGTCCACGCGGCATTCGGATCCAGCCCCAGGGGGACACCAGGAAATGCTGCAAGAAGGGCTCTGACAGCTTCGACCTCCTGTGCCGGTGTCAAAACACCGCCTTTGAGTTTTATCGCCTGGAACCCATATTCATTTATGATCTTCTGGGCTTGCCTGACCAGACCGGCCGCATCGAGGGCCGGGCCATATTCATCGTCTAGGTCTCCCGGATGTCCTCTTCACTTGTAAAAAAAGTGTATGCCGAGTATTGGACCTTCTCTCTCATGCGGCCACCAAGGAAATCGCTCACGGGGACCCCTGCCAACTTGCCTTGGATATCGAGACATGCAACTTCAAAGAGGGAGAAGACCTTGTCAGCAACAGATGCCGTGGTGACCATGCCGGCCATACCATCGCCACCCATACCGGCGTCGTCTGTCAGAGACTCGACACATGTCTTGAAAAGAGCATTTTTGTCGTACACTGAGAGACCTTCGATTCGCTCGGCAGCTCTTTGCAGGCGGTCCAGATGCGTAGAGTCGCCGTATGACTCGCCTAGTCCGTACGTTCCACACGTTATGACAATCTCGACCATGCTGCGCAATGCAAATGGTTCGTGCACTCCGACGCTGTTCAGCAATGGCATGTCATGGAACGCCACCGGCGCGACGGTTACATTCTTGATCCTATTTCTTTGTGACATGTTTCTGATGATTACTGACAGCCCGGCCTACACGGGGACACGGAGAAGGCTGCAAGCAGTGCCAGAGAGCTGAAAACCAGAATCCACCGGACTGATTGATTCCCTTACCGTTGTGAAATGTTCTCCCATCCCTTGATTGCGTGTCCCGAAGGAGGAAGACCGATCTTGGGCGATCCACCGACCTTTGCGTGTGTAGGTAAGGTCGTTGACAAACATGGGGCCCCGCATGGGATGCTTCGAAGAGCGCGAGAGCGGTATCCGCAGCCGATCTCGCGGGGTACAGAGTACCGAAGCTAGTTGGCTAGACATACTGTATTTATTGCGCCAATGAACTCCCAGGTCTTGCTTCTAGTGAACCTGAGGGGTATTTTAGCGCTTTGGCGGGAATTGCCTTTACAAGGCTATATACCCCGCGCATACGGTCAATCTACATCCTAGCAAGTTCACGGAGTGCACTCTGCCCATCTTAAGTAGGGTTGCCTATCATGAAAAAGTATGGACTTATATCACTAAAGGTTGAAGTCAACCACGCCTCTTCCGGCCGCTTCACCTTTTCTGATCCTTTCCACGGCCTCTGGGAGTCGGTCAATTGAATATACTGTGTGATCACCAGAGAGTTTACCGGCCGCGGCGTATTGAAGGGCGGTGGCAATGTCAGCTCTACTGCCCACCATTGAGCCGCGCACGGTCAGTCCTTGAGTGATGAATTTGACCGGGGAAGCCCCGATACTGAGTTCTTTGTTGTGCGCTAGTTGTATTTTTGTTCAGCATCATTCGCGCCGGGAGAGGAGAGACAGCCACTTACGGAGCCCTATACACGATACAACACCACCGACGCGTGTACCAATGTACGGTATTGCGGATGGATATGAGTTGCCTGCTGTGACGAAGACTCCATGTGCTCCGATCCCATCCGCGATCTTGATCGTCTCCGCAACCGGGTCATCAACACGTTTGAAATCGACGAAGGCTTTCGCCCCCCGGGACATGGCCAGCTTCTCCTTCTCGTCTCCCGTGTCCACGACAATAGGTTTAAGTCCCATTGCGACTGCCAGTTGCACGCCTTGAATGCCCACTCCTCCACCCCCTCCTAGGAAAACAGCCCAATTGTTCACCTTGAGTCCCGCCAGACGTAAGGAGCGATACATCGTTCCCGCTGAGCACATGATTGGTGCGGCTGCGTAATCGTCCACACCGTCAGGAATCCTTTGCGTATAATTCGCCGGAGAAGTGACATATCTATTTCATAGATTAGCAATTCTTGAAGCCAAGGGTGAATTTCAAGATCAATTACTGTTGATATGTTCTATTGAACATTAGCATTGACTCGGGGACGCTTCACCCAGCAAAGAGTAAACTTGCCCTGTTTTATGGAGACCACAGAGCACGGATTTTCGACAATAAGACTCCTTGTCATCCAGGCATAGGTCACAGTCACCGCAAACTGACCATCTCGGCTTCATCCCCGCCCGATCGCCTGTCTTCCAGTTCTTCACATTGGAGCCTACCTTGACGACAACGCCGGCGCCCTCGTGGCCGGGAGATCGCACACCGAACGTCGACATAGGCGGAGTACCCAGGTCACCCATTGCGAAATGCAGATCTGAAAAGCAGATGCCGGTTACGTTGAGCTTGATCAATACTTCGTCTGGGCCTAAAGAATGACGATTCTGGTTAGGGCCAAGGTTGATGGAGGGAACAGAACTGTGTCTCATATTGAGAAGATCGTCAGGTGCTCCCTTACCAGGCTCTGGGACCGGGACCATCTGAACCTCAATATGGAAATCGGGGCCTTCATTGACCACCACTCCCGCCTTACACTCTTTTGGTATGTCGAAGACAATCTCGCTTTTATCAACCGTGTTGTTGACATCGGGCCGAAATAAATATGACATGGTGAGGTTTTGTAATGATGACGGCGGTAATTGAAATCTAGGGATCTGTCTGTAGAGATCGATGGCCTCAGAAGTGCTCTCTTTTGGTGTCTCAACCCGAGGTTGATCCCTAGCATTGATCGGATATAAGCGAAATCCGCATGTCGTTTACTGCCAACGACCGGAATCGATTCTCCGAAACAACCATCTAAAGTGGAGATGATACTTTCCAGCACGCCCTGTAATATTGCGCTGAAGTATATCATCGGTCCAGCTAAAAGGGGTTTGCCGGGAGATCAATTGGTGCTTGTCAGTCGCCATTACGCAGAGTTGTCACCCCTGGTGCTCCTAGTTTTGAAGCTTTGTCGTCACCTTTATAAAGCTCGCGTGCGGCTCAGCTTCACTGTGCCACTGATATCAGCCACCCCTACCCCCCCTCGTCTTCGCCTTCTGCCTTTACCCTAAACTTCTCTCAAATTCCTAGGCGCAATGACGTCCGAGGGTTACAGCAAGCTTTTCAGGTACGCTTATCACAGCCTCACCCCGCTTCCCCATTCCTAGGGACCGTGCGCCGGCTAGGCTAGGAGCCTGTCTAAGTGGTAGGAAACTGATCCCCGGCGCTCTGCCTGTACCCGAGAATCACTCACTAGGTGCTAAGTCTCGCGAGAGCAGGAATGGTCTCATACGAGCACCGCTCACCCCCTCGAGTGACCAACCCCGCGCAGAAAATATGCTCTAGCGGTGACTCTGTCTTCCATTGATCAGACGCTTCAAGCCTTATGTGCAGACAGCCGAGCACATTTGGACTGCCTATTGCGAAAACTAACAAAAGCACATGTCTAAACGCCCTGGCGCCCAAGGATTGTACCTATTGGTTACCTAACTTTATTCTCCCAGTCAGCACCTGTGCCTTAGGACCTATACCTTAGTTATACGATGTGTACACCTGGATGGTGGGTCATTACTCATGCTAGAGTTTGGCGGGAGAGGTTGAATCCCCCGCCGAAAGCTCTAGCAACGGTACGCAGAGTGCAAGGTAACAACGCGTGCACCAAGATCTTCATATTTTGATACTTTGTCTGGCTGTTCCAGGGAGAGATTGAAACATCGACTTTCCTTTCAGAAACCTCAACCCACATTTCAGCACAATCGATCCTCGTTTGAGGATAAGGAATGCCAACTTATCAGGCACTCTTGGGATTAAAAACACAATCCACTGGTGTGTTTCACGCAGATTCTCGAGATGAGCGATCCGGTCTTCAGGTCCATCTTCAATATTCCTAGGCTCGACGCAACTCAATTTGCCGCTGCTGCATCGGCCCTAGAGACGAAAAGGCGTTAGTAACCTCAATTAGAATCGAAAGAAGTGAATGAACGTATGCGGTATCATCATAGGGACTCCGACGTAGGGTGATTTCTTGATATTATCGCCTATATCTTCGGATGATTGAAAGGAAAGCATGCGGCCGCCTAAGTTTCAGCAACCGCACTCTACCATGATTTCAAAGTCAATGGCCGCTGTGTCATTCTTATCACGAAGAACAATTGCATTCAAGAAGGTGATGAACAATTCCCGAAAGCCTTCCGGAAGTAGTTTGGCAAAGAGAAAATACCCGATCCGAAGAGGACTGACACCATAAAACGGTGGAAAGATGTGCTAGAAGAATACCTGCATTTATCTCAAAGGAGCGAGATACGCCAGAATGATATGGATCCTGTTAAGGGAGAGAAATGGACGATCCGAAAGATGACTCCTGTGACATCGTGTCTATTGATGCAGATGAATAGAAGATTGTCCAGTACGAGCAGATATAGTGCATATACTTTCTTTCGATTTTGGTCGCCAGTTATACTATCTTGTATAGATTATTAAGAACAGCGATGCCATAAATGACCGGGACTTGAAAGTCATTTTGCCTCGAGATGAAAAAAGCATGGTTCGGAAAGTGAGGTAAATTATTGAATGGTGTCGGAAGTTCCGCAGAAAATTCAAAAGAATAGGTCAAGGGCCCGAACCCCCCCCCCAAAAAAATTACTATTCAGAGCTTGATAAATTCTACAAAAGAATATATATAGGTTCGGTTGAATATCGTCGACGCGATAAGTCCCAAGATGATAACATCGAGGAGAATATACAGGAGAAGTTAAGCGCTCACCAGAATTCCCGGCCGTCTCGACTGTCGAAAGACCCTCGAGTCTTTTTCGTAGCCATCCATGTACTTCGCCGCTTACGGGCTGACTGAGGAAAGATCCAAATGTACAAGGCCAGCTCGGGTTGGACGGTTGGAATCCAGACCCTTCGAAATGAAGGACTTCCGCTTCAATGCCAGAGTTGTTCGCGAGACGATCTCTGAGCACTACCGTAACATATTTGGCTCGGTCGACATCTCTTAGTGCTTAACCAGAACCGTGTATTCTGCTTTTACTACGAGATCTAGATACTTCATCGTATTGTAACAAGGCAAAGTGGCAGTGCTGGGCTGGGCTGGAAGAATGGTAGTAAGGGGGAGAGTTGTCTAGTCACATGTCAAACCAAAATGGGCTGATAGGGGGGAGTGCGAGACAGTTTACCGTGCTAGAAGAGTGCCATTCTTTACAATTAGACAGAGTATCAGTATTCCATGCTTTTGATGCCGCCTACCTATTCCTGAGTGTTTCATCGGCCCTTTCCTACTTCTCAATGTCGTCGCCGTGCTAGGCGCTCGCAGCCCCAGCGGCTGCCTCTCTGGGGGCGGTGTTGGTGGTGGTGTTGCCCTGTCGGTGTCAACCAGAAACGCGTTCTCGATTCCCGACCTGCTGGACAGGCCTCTGTGCGTTGTTGCACATACACGCCGAACCCTGAAGTGCTCTGTTACAGTATTAAGAGCAATGGACTCGCGGAGCACTGTGAGGACGATTTCGGCTACGGGAGAAATCAAGCTGGAACTATTACGCGACTCTTAGCCACGACTCAAAATCTCGGACGGGTGATACCCATGCAAAAGGTGTTCTAGAAATGCGCGTTTCTTTTATCCAATGGCCTCCAGGCCAGTGCCGACCAGGTGATCATCCGTGGCTTCCTTACCCTTCAAAGACATGTGACGGACCAGGTCTTGACATGATTTTGCGTGGAGGCGACTCCTAGGAGAGGCGGACAAACATAAAGCAGACCACGCACCATGACACAATCCTGACACAGGTCGAAGACTTAGAAGGTCCGACGACATTGGTGATGAGGTTGTCTCGTACTAGTGGAAAGACCCATACAAAATGGTTCAAGCCATGAAGATCGCAGAAGATGGCAAAGTTTCGATCGAACATATCCCGGTGTTCAAAACCGGGTCGCTTCACGTCGTTGAATATGTGCTTGGGCCGGGGGAGGGGGGAGAAGTATTACGCCAGAATTTTTCATGAGAAGGCCTAGATGGAAAACGATGAGATTCGTTCCGACTAGCTATATGGTTTTGTTTTGTTTTGTTTGTTTTGTTTGTTTTTTGATCGATTCCAGCGCTGGTATCGCTGACACCCAGAGTGGTGTACTGGATGTTGAAGCCTTTTTCCGGTGCAGAGAATCGAATGCAGCCAGCTGTAACGAGCGAATGGACAGATCCCGGATGACAGTCCTTGATGTTATGGAGATATAAAGAGAAGATTTTGCCGTCTTCTAAAACGCGCGTTCCACTGATATGAAACTTCGAAAGCCCTACGAGGAGCTTGAATGAAAAAAGAACGTTATGGCTTTGATGATTGAAGGAGACAAAAAGCGCACTGATCCCACCGTCATAGACGGCAGAGACTCGCTAAGCCAGCCCTCAAGTATACAGAGGGAACGAGGCAGTGACTTTGTTTGTACACAGCACGCTCTACAGCTTAAACTCGTATTGAACTTTGTACTAGGTAGAAGGCGCGGGATTGCGATATGAGATTGGTAGTTGGAGTCTGTAAAAGTCGAATATTATCCAGCTACCATCCCCGTACACTCATGTCGCCGTTTTCAAGAGTCTCGGAACTGGAATGTGGTGTTGTGGGAAGGGTGAACAAGGATTTATAAGTTGCTCAGGTTGAGACGATCATATTTCTTATGAAGGGGCCAATCAAATCCACCAATGCTTCAACCGAGGCCTCTCTATAATAGCCTCGGTGCCACCGTTGATCGACAACGAGGTCTGGACAGATCTGGCCAGGTCCAGATCTATTCAGCGGATCGCTTCTTGCCACAGTGCAAATAGTATATAGACAGGCAGAGTCTCTCTGAAAAGCCAGAGGAAGGAACACAATCAAGCAGATAGATCCACTCTCATTCTCTGTACAACAGGGCTCCTATAGTTATCTCCCCTTCCGTCCGTTGGGCGCCTTTTGTCTTGGCACTAGGCTTGGCATGCAAATTCATGTAGAACAGTACGAAGCTCAGGAATCAAATACTATTCCACAGCAAATTACTATGTAGATTTGTATGATATTTATAAAAGCAGTAGCCCTTTGCACATAGATTGACACCACAGGTATTACAGCCAAATATCGTGTCCCTTGAACGGATGCGGCGCCTAGTTGGTAGCGATCCGTTTACCACCTCGCGGAGAGGCTCTCTTGCCTGTTGTCCTGCCTCTTGCCCATCTGTTCTGTGCCTGTCGCCGCCAGAGACGCAATCGTCGAGGTGTTGAACGCCCCAGGCACACCTGCTCCTACTAGGACGCTTCTCTAGCCTGTGGTTAAGCCCTCGCGAGAGTAACGAGTTGATCAATTGGCGATTGAATTGCTCCCGTAGATGAGTACTCTGGCGACGATTAGGTGGTAGTTTGGCGCGCCAGATAACGAAGCTGTTGACTAGGCAAACGTCGAATAGCCACCAGGCAAGCGGACGCCAATTGCGCCTCTCAAAGCGTAACTGGGCACTGAAATTGGCTCGGATTTGATTGGCATTGTCGACGGCATTCATGCCGTGGTTATAGGCATCGATCGCAAGTGGAATAGGCAGCGGTTTGATCCAGTCTTCGCCGAACACTGGGAGCGCAATCCTAGCATTAGTTGAGGCATCTCCTGGC